ACCTTAAAACATGAGTTTTAGAACACATAAGACACTAAGAAGCTGAATATAAAAAACTCCACAGCTCTCGTTGAACATGAAAAAGAATATGGAAACATTTTTTATTTTGATCATCCAACTATTCTAGATATTCAACCATATTTATCCAGAAGACTTTCGAGCGAAATGATACATATCCTCGAAGGCGATAGTGTTGCGGAACGGCTAAGATACTCATTTTTATTTTCTTAATTTTGCCTCACCCTGTACCCTTCAATATGATTGCGCCCTCTGTGGTGTGTTGGAGCGATGAAAAGGGACGAACATTAGTGTTGTTACATTGTTTTTATGTGGTTGATCGTCCGCCATTCTCGACTGCCCAGTTCAACAGTGAATATTCGTTTTTTTGCTGATAATATTTATGTTTATCACACCGCATAATATCGTGCTTCTTGATACACGGATTAGCTTCGATTCCAAGAACTCGTTGTACCAATCTCAGGACTCTGATGAGACAGTCGCAATCCACTCGAGGTAAGTCGTCTTTGAGGGATTTACTTTAACATTTGTTAAGTATCATAATGGTATACAGTCCCTACTGTTCCTATTACCGTTCCGTTACAGATAGTGTTAACACTAGAAGAGATGTCGATGGCCTTAATACTGCATATTTCAATTTGTTACGTAAAATACCTGAATAATTTACCTTTTTTTCCATTCTTTTCCTTTCTGCCATTGAATAAAAAACAGATACCACCTTAACAGAATCACAGATAACGCCATTCGTTTGTTTAATCCCGTTTTGTGTTGGTGTTGTCTTGGAAATTTGGTTGTTGCAATGGTTTTTTTCAAATATGTATCCCACATGTCTAATGGTTTTTAAAATTGTACTATTATCAACACGAAAATAAGTCTTTTCGGTGAGTAATTTAATTTGAAATTCGTTATTTCTTGTGAAATTCAAACAATATCAATCGTATAACTTCTCTGGGAAGTTGATGAAAGCTGCCATAAAAAATGGTCAGAAAATAATAAATAACTGTAAAAACTCAAACGAACAATGGAAATGTGTTGATGATATATGCAATGAATCTAGATCCGAAACGAAAATACCGATTATTCAACTAGAGAATGGCACTTGATATCTCTATTGAGTAAATTCAAGTTTTACAAAAAAATGTTCTCTCTGACGCAGTTGAAAACGTTATAATTCAGTTCGGCCCGAACGCGTATGCAATTACTGTGTGAGGAGGAACAACGAGTCCCAGTCCACAGTCGACTATCTGGGAAAGGCACCACCTATTATTCCTACTCTGGAATACATAATGCCGAAATTACTTTTCGACAGTGTCTAGTCAGGCGAAGGTATCTGATCCTGATGAATTGCCCTTCATTGTACTTAAAAAGGGCGCAAAGTAACTCGCACCAGTATTTTGCTGTACTTTCCAATATTTCTTACAAGAAAGGGGTTTTTTCTTCTTGTTGAAAGATTGCTCGTGTACAGACTATTCCCAGAAAGGGCAAGAACAATCTTTCCAATAACTGTAAACCAGTCGCTTGGTTATCTGTGATATCAAAAATCATGAAAAAAGTAGTAAAATGCTAGATCATCGAATACATCCTTTTCCTCATCCATCCTCATATGTATATGGAAGGCTGCAACTTCTTGAGCGATCATCAATATGGCTTTCGGAAACAAAGATAGGCGACCTTCTATCATATGTCACATACATTTGAAATAAGTCAATTGAGAAATATGGAAAATCATTAGCTTGACATTTCAAAGGCCTTTGACTGTGAGTGGCATGAGGATTTGCTGGCCAAACTTCGATGCTATAGCTTGTCGAATCATTTTTGTGTACGACTTTCTGAAAGACCCTGCAAGTGGTCGTCGATGGATATCTCTCAAATACTTTCACCATCAACGCTGGTATTCCCCAGGGATCCATATTGTCTCCAACCTTTTTTATTGTATATTGCTTTACTGACGACAGCACACTTGTCTCCTCATTCCATTTGGATTCCAGGCCTTCGGCTACGGAGGTACCTCCTGCTTTACCGGCAGCAGGATGTTGCACATCTTAATGAGGATCTAGAAATGATTCCGAATTCGGCTGAAAATGACCACATTCAATGCCACAAAAATACAGGCATCAGTTTTTTCCAAAATGATAAATGTCTCTGAACCGGATATAATAATGTCAGCTCAGACAATTCCGCTTTCTGCTTCGATAAGTTTGTTGGGTAGTTGAAATGGTCACCAATTTGTCTTGGCAAAATCATATCGCTGGAATTGCAAATACTGCTCCACAAAAGCTATGAACACTGTCACAACACATAAACAACAGTTGTTTTGTTATTTATTCATATAGAGGAAGATAGGTTAGGTGCACAAAATGTCAGAATGTGTCGGAACTTGGAACATGAGTAAACAGAACAGCACGCCTCTGAAATATGTCATCATTGTTTGTCTCATACAGGTAAAAGATTCATTGTCCTTCATTAGCTATAACCGATGTTGCCAAATGGTGAAATAGAAACAAATCCCTTCAAATGTTGAATGCATTATTTCATTCCTCTTTTTCAAGTATTTAAATTATTTTTCAAATAAAAAGGTTGAAATGATAAGTTTAAAATGCGTTGTTTTAGAGCTTTCTCATGAAAACTACTTATTTTCGTCAGGAGGAAGGAACATTCTCCATTGACTATGCTGAAATACCCAATTACTTGAGACAAACCTGCATCTAACAAATATTCACAAAAAAAAAATAAAAAACAGACCTCGAACAGTACCTGCAGAAAGGGTGAATAAAATTATTGAAGGAAGGATATACTGCATAGTTACTTCGAACAGTAGGTTGAGTATCGAGAGCTCGAAATCCATTGGATATAATTATAGAAACTATTCAATTTTGAGAATTGTTCAATTGGTAAACGATGAATCACTTTGACAAATGCAATAACGTAATTTTAAAAAAATTAGAACTGGCCATCTCTCCCAGGATGTCTGGGAGTGATAGCCATAGCAGTCGGGGAGAGATGGCCAATACTTTTTTTGCCTTTCCTTCTGCTCTTGAAATCTTTTAGCTCATTTTTTTCCTATTACCCCAGAATGAACACATGTCGTCAAATTCGATGCAATTTTCATGCACTCAGAACAAGCAGATATTGCCTTGTATCCAATCTTCCATCAGTCGTGTCTTATGATAATTATCACCGCAACCTCTGCAGTTATCTTTCTCTCTGTCTTCAGTTTCACTTTCAGTGGTATCATTGAAAACGATGGGAATTTCTTCGCAGCTGCTATCAGACAACCTACGAATTACCTTTCTGTTTTTCCTCAGGTTTATCAGTCTTAGTATATTTGTTTTTATTATTTTTGTATTTCTTGACTTTTGTTCCCTATTTTCTTTTTTATTTTCTTTCATTTTCCGTTTTTCCATATGCTCTTCAGATGTCAAAAGAATGTTTACTTGTTTCGCTCGTTTGCGAACTTCGTGTAGTTTCACAGGCAGTGGAGACACTTCGTTAAGTACTCTTGTTGGTGTTGGTTGATCCACCGTTTGAATGGATGTACTTGGGCCTGGATCTAGAATTGATTGGGCCTGCGCTGTATTTCTTTCAACGGGTTGTTCAATGTTCTCACTAAAGGCGTACTCCGGAATAGCTCCTGGATTTAGCGGGAAAACTCCTGCTGTCCTAAATCCTGATCTTGCATTTCCACTTGTCGCTGATTTTCCCCAGGCTTGGTATACAATACATAACCTACAGGACTCATAGAAGTAAGTTTTGAGGGACTTGAAAACAACAACATCCAGCAGCTGAAAGTAATGGGATGTGTGTGACGGCATTGAGAGTAAGTAAGAGAGAGTAACGTCCACTCGACTGTGTCGATATGATCGCGGCTAGCGTTTATATATCGTAATCGAATGCGCTAGAAAAAATATTTTGTTACTTCTAATACCTCCAAGAACATGTGTGCAGAATTTCATGATGATCAGTTGGGTGGTTTTCGCGTGAAACCGTAACAAACAAACTTACATTCGCATTTATAATATTAGTAGGGAAAGAATGATAAGGAAAGGCTATTCAATAATAAAATCTATCATTGATTATTTTGTGTATGTACATATAGCTACCATAAGCCAATTGTTACTTTTGTAGGATCAAATGATGAAATTAATAATGTACATACACAATTGTCCACAGTATATGTCACAGTATGTGTTAGGTAACGAAGCGGTTTACCCTCTCNTTTTTAAGTACAATGACGGGCACTTCATTACTGATGATATTGAGCTGTCAGGAAATCGACGAAATGTCTCGAAAATTTCGTTAGCAGCAGCCTGGCACTGGTCAACAATTGAGGTCCGATTCTGCTCCACGACAACGTCCGTCCGCACATTTCAAGAAATACTACTTCAAAAACATTTTTCTAGAGGTGATTCCGAATCGAATAAGCTATCGCTCATATTTTTGGGACCTTTATCACTATTTTTCATGTTTTTGAACTTGTTGATTAGACTAGTACTTTAACTAAGATTCCACCACTTTCTCTGACACGTTGGTGGAATGCTAACTGGATTTCAATCTTTGAAATACTTTAAAAGTGTTTTTTTCAGATTGGGGTGACGGTATGCCTCTCTGCATTGATCAAGAAATACACTATATTCCAGACTATGATTAACACTATTCGTGATGAAAGAAAGGACCAGTGAGCAGCATCTTAGAAGTGTGTTAATATTCAGTTCATCACATCCTGAAGCATTGGATTTCAACTCGCATAGAATTTTTGTTCTTCAAGGTCATCAACCGGTGTGAATTCAAAATTTAAAATGTCATTTCTAAGTTCATTATTATTATAGAAATTTATTCAATATTTATCTGCTGGTATGGCAGGAAATCTATTCGAATATTAATCATTCAAGGTGTTAACATCACTCGGATTTTCTGGTATATTTGCATTTCATTTGTAATTCAGATTTTCTGAATCCTTACAGATTCTGTTCGTGCCTCTTACGTTCATGACATGTTCAAAATAGGCTGTTTTGTCAGTGAAGCAAGCCTCAGTTGTGTATTTTTTCAGTGATTCATAATAGTTATGATGGGCTTCAGATCTTGTTCATTTATTGGTATGCAAATAGGTTGACCATTTTCAACAACGTTTTCATTCCTTGACCGGTAAGGTCCATGCATAGGTAAATATTCACCTTGAAATAATACCATATGAATCGACTATTCAATAATACCTCATATTATACTTGAATCCAATCATGCTGTTTCTCAAGGCAATCAAATTATCTTGGAATAAAGAATAACTACTTCATGACATATATGAAAGCCCCGGTATACAGCTGTTCCAGCCTATTGAGCATCGTCAGTACCGGGCAGGCGGTCCTCGATTGAAGACAAAATGAAAAAGAACCAAACGTCAAATTTGGTAAAATCATATGTTCAATTGTTTGATGTGTAACTATAATCATTCTTGAATCACTATCCTAGCTAATTCCAATGTTTTCCCGTTTCTCAAATCTAAGTACGACATTAAAATCAAATAATAAAAAATATTATTTTTAACATCACTGAGTCCAACCTCAATGACAATGTGAGTACATAATTTTCAACTGTACAATATCAATTAGTCTTATGTTCTATTATTGTAGTTTTCCCTGAGGATGACAGTATACATTGTCGAAATGATTGGAATATATTGTTGAAAGAGTACACTTCCTCAATTGCTGCTTGCCCAAATATTTACCCGTTGAATTCCTAACTGATCAGCAAAGACTATCTTGAATTTCACTAGTTCGAACTTCCATTGTCTACTATATAAAATGATTTGAAATCCCTGAAACAACTAAAAAAAAGAAGAATTGAAAATAACAATTATATTAACCAAAATAGATCTGAAATAAAATAATAGTGAAATAAAATACAAGTGAAAATAGAACAATTG